AAACACTGGTTTGGGTTTAGCATGAACAAAAACTAAGCTTTTGTTGTATAAAGCCACAGAGATTTGGGAGTTAATTTATTGCCTTAAATGATAGGGATGTTTGAAATGTAAGATAGGGCTATACTAAAATCCAATGTAAGTGGTTTTTGTTACATGTTGTGATGTTTTTCAGGCTTCTTGAATCTAGGCAGTGCAGCCAGCTCCTGAAATTTGATCATGCCAATTGTGCCTAGGTGACCAAATCCTTGGATGCCTGGCCACTCTTGTGAAGACACAGGTCTACTGGCTTCTTTAGGGGATGACCCGATTTTGATTTACAAAATATTCATACAGGACTTTACATCTTATAAAAAGTAGTATGCCCAAGATGACTCAACTAAGGAGTACAGTAGACCTTTTGGCCATAAGTCACTATTACCAGGCAGGTGATGGTCCCTCTGAGAGACTACTCAGAGAAAGAGCATTAAATTAAAAACTAGAAGGTCCATAGTCTCAAGGAAGCTGTGTGGCCTTGGGAAAACCATTTCAGCTCTCCAATTATCCATTTCCTCACCAGAAAATGAAATAAACCCCTACTATTTCCATTAACTAGCAGTTGATACATCTATAGTACAAAATCTCAGAATAGGACCAATCCATTTTGAAGCATTCTATCCCAAGTTGCCACATTTTCTGATGGACTGGGGTCCTTCATGCTCAGTAAAGAGAATTCAAGTTGCTGGAATTAGCCACTGAGACATTGAGAAACATTGAGAGACACTAGTGCTCAGGATAATTGCATTTACAGAAAATTTAAATTCATTATTCAAATGTAGACTGAGAAAATCTGTAGGAAAAAATAGGAAATACATTAAAAAAGATTCCCTGTACTACCTCTTTCAAATTCATATTAGTTGTTCTCAAACCATTCTGGGAAGTCAGTGCAGAAAACAAAAAGGTAAGCTTTTTTTCCAGTGGAGATAATAATTAACAATTAATCCTAAATTTTAAAATTGTTTCTTGATTTTCTACCACTGATAAATAAACACAGATGCTCTTCAACTTACAATGCTTTAACATTCTGATCAACCCATTATAAACTGAAAATAGCATGTCAAAAGTGCATCTAACATACCCAACCTTCAAACATCATAGCTTAGTCTAGCCCACCTTAAACATGCTCATTACATTAGCCTACAGTTGGAAGAAATCTAACACAAAGCCCAGTCAATAATAAAGTGTTGAATATCTCATGTACTTTTTTGAATATTGTACTGAAAGTGAAAAGCAGGATGGTCGTATGGATATGCTCTTATCCCACTGTACAATTGAAAAATCATAAATCGAAGCATTGCAAGTTAAAGACTATCCACATTCAGTTATGATTCCTGGGAAAAAATACAGACCCATGTACTATCTTCACCCATGTTAAAAGAGGACTCAAACACTTTAAGGAAGAAAAAATAATTCTAAACATTGTTTCTGTCTCTAAGATAATTCTGAAAAAAAAAAAAAAAACCAAAACTTTTCGTGTTGAGGTAAAAGGATGAAGTGATTTCATTTTTTCATGATTTTTTTATCTTGAAGGAAATATGCATTCATTAATAAAAAAGTATTATGTGAAATGGTTGTCTTTGTCTTCTGATCTACACTATCTTACTATCTTTGTAGAGAGAAGGTTTGAGCCTCCTAGCCTCTTGGGAGCTCTGTGGCTCACTCTGGAGTTTGTTTCATTCATTATTAACATAGCAGTTGACACCTGTCACTGTACTTGAGGAGTGAGGAAACCTAAGCAGATAAATAAGTTTCCTTGCCTTTGTGTGATGATCACACACACACACACACACACACACACACACACTTATAGGATATATATACCAAATATCTGTATTTAAATAGAACACAGCACCCCCATGCCCATTCTCTGTCATCTTCATCTACATTGATTACTTTTCTTTTTCTCTCAGCATGAGAAGAGAAACAATGTAACTTTGAATTTCAGTACCATGCAAAGAGAACGTGTAAAAACCACAATATGATGCATTTTCAAATTTGCATTTTAATCTAGTATTAGTTCCGAGGTTGATTGGAAACATCTGGCTAAAGGACCAGGAAATAATGAGGCTCTAAATTCATGCTTTATTTTATCATAGGTAAGTGATGAGTAAGTTCATGAAAAATAGTCCCTGCTCAGCCTGACTGTCTTCAGATAGCATTGCTTCTCACTACCAAATCAGAGTATGAAAATTTTATGCCTAACCCCACAGAAATAACTGTTGCCTTCTGCTTGAGAGTCCAGCTTCTTCTTTTCATAGATCAACAGGACAAGCTAACTTACTGGGATGGCTATGCATGTGGAAGAAAATGCAAAATGGCTGTATCACTAATCCAGAAGAGATATGGTAAGAGTCTGCCTGGAGACACAAGGATTTGGTATATTCAAGCTGATTATATTCCATTAGCAAGAAGTAGTCTGAGGTATTGTGCTTGCTAAATATGGTGTTTTTCAGAAGAAAAAAAAGAGCAATGATTAAATAAGAATTTTTCATTCTCTGGTGAAGGCAAAGATGTTTATGGCTTCTGATCCAATATGTCATTCTTTTAGGAATAGACTCTAAAATCTCTTGTACTTGAGCATGTGTTCAGGAATGTCCCTGGCAGTTATGCATGTAACAGTAAAGCACAGAGTCCAAACATCCATTAATGCCCTGGTGGATAAACAAAATGATGCTTATTTATTCATTGGAATATCTTGTAGCAATGAAAATAAATGAAGGGTTATACATTTACACAACTCAGAAACATAATTTTGGTGAAAACAAAAAGTAAGCCACAGAAGGATACATACCCTATTAGTCATTTTATGTAAAATACAACAACATATTTGGCAGGGATTCAAACATGTGCAATGGAACTATATAAAAAAGCAAGGGAATGAAAAATTCAGATTTAGGATACAGGTTACCTCTGTGGGGGAATAAGGAGATGGGATTAGGGAAGATCAACACAAATATTCAAAAGTAATAATCTTTTGATTTTTCTTAAACTGGGTGGTAGGTACATAGATATACATTTCATTATGTTCTGTTATACCATCAGAAATATCTTATGAACCAATAAAAAATAGTGCAATTTGATTTTTTGTCTTCCTCAGAATTTTAATTTGAATCTCTTTGTCCAAAGCTAAGAGCAGAATAATAGGAACTCACTCAAATTTAATGGTATGATTTGGGGTGGGAAATGACTATTGTTCCCTGACATCTAATCAACTACATTGACTTTGCAATAATGGATTGTCAATTAATGATTTTTATGCATAGCAAAGTCTTTTGGTTTGTCTGTTATTACTGAGGTTAATAATAGAATACTGGGAGTATTTCTTCATAAAATTGTAAGTATAGAAATCTTTTCATTATTATCTAATATCAAGGAAGAGAGAAACATAGCAAAACTTCATAAAATCAGTCTTCCCTCAACTGCAATGCTAAAGTTTATACTACTGATATCTGTAGATCATTTTCACTGTGCTATAACAGAACTCAGGGGTGGTGTTCATCCTTACAAGAGGAGAACTAAAGATTCTTTGGACTGTCACTTTCCCTAGAAAGGTAACTCAAAGTTCAGTCTTGGTGTCTTAGAACTGAAGAAAGCTAGAGGGTATTCAGTGTTAAGACAACCAAGGGGGCATATTTGAAAGAGCCCAACCTAGACTGGGAGTTCATGCTCCAAGGTAGGTGCTTCTAAGCCTGATGCTCAAGAAGGAATAGAAAATATACAAAAAAAATACACAGAAAAACTCTCCTCTGGGGGAAGAGAGTTCCAGACAGCCACAGAGAGGTGGTAAAGTTTAGGAATTTAAAATTTCCCTGCACAGATCTGCAAAGGTGACCTGACTCAAGTTATAGATTAGACTTAGATCTCAGCCTTCCTGACATCATTATGTCCCTGCCAGAGACAGTTGAGGCAGCACAAGGCCAGGTGAAGAGTGCCGTCTGTAGAGTCAGATAATAAGGCTGATTCCTTGTCTGTCTCCAGAGCCATGGACAAGCTCTCAATTTCTGTAAAACAGGGATGATGACTCCTCCTTTTTGGCATTGCAGAGATTAAAAGTTCAGTTGTTATTATTACTAATCTACCCGGTCTTGTGTAGGCAGTGTGATCATTCTGAAATACAACTCAGGCATCTCCTGCATTTAAAACAAAAATATTGGTTCCCATTGTGAATATTCAACCTCTTAACTTATCTTTCAAAGCTTTTTGGTGATCTGGACCTGCTTCCCTCTCCATCCTCATCAATTGTGGCTCCTCAACCCTGTTAAAAAAAAAAAACCCAGTTCCCCAATTCCCTGTGCTTGTTCAGCTTTGCTTACAACACATATTCCTCTCATTCTTGGCCACCAAGATACTCCTGCTACTCTTGAGAGCTCAGCCTGGCAATCTAGAATGGGAAATTTTATACATATATATTTTTCTCTCTATATTATATATATATATTTATGCTTATACACACACATATCCACACAGAGCTTTTATAAGCTTGTATGAATTTATCTGTATGATGCTCTATATTATCTTAGAATGTAAACGGTTTTAATATATTCTGCATATCAGCAAAATGCACCCATATAATTAACACTAAACAATAACATTAACCAATTTACTGTTTCTTGGGAGCAATTTTGAAAAATATGGTAGTTACTCCAGCATCTGCTGGAAATAACTGTTATGTGCACATTTTATTATTAAATATTTCATAGCTCAATATAAAGTACATCTAATCATAAAAGAGCATCAGACTGAGAATAGTCATTTTGCCACCAATGAGGGTAGAGAAAGGAAGTTTTCTCTCAGTCAACAGTTAGCATGTTAAAACTCAGACCACAGAGAAAAGATGCAAAATAATTGCCAATAAATTCAGGGGGTACTGTGGATCTATAAGATGCCCAGTTTTCCTTCAACCAGCAAACTGTCAACATTATGACTATTGAACCTAATGATGGCAACCAGAGAATGCCTCTTACCTCAGCATCAAAGCGCGGATCCTGGTAGGCATCGCTGATGTTCACAGGAAGGCCTGTTGAAGCAACCAGCTCAGCAATGCTGTTGTTTATTAGCCAGTCGGAGTATGATGACTTTTCCATGCTTTCTTTGAAACTGTCAGAGTACCAATATAGGAAACAAGGAGAAAAATGTAAGTTTGTTTGAAAGTGAACCCAACAAAACTATACAAGTAACAGGATTATATGTACTAATTAAGAAAGTATGATGTCATTAGTCACAGAATAATCATAAAGTAATTATCAGTAGCTACTTCAAAAAAACTTATTATTTTTATAATGTCAAATCCCTGAGTAGAAACCATAGATTCACTATGATGCAGAGAATAACTCCAGGTTATATTTAGACCCCCAAATAGGCAGATATAAAGCTGATAATCAGGTACTAAAAAACTGACAATAGTACACCATTGCATTGAACTCCGCAGCCTGCCCGACTTAACTGAAGAGACTGGATGCTTTGGGACCAAGAAAAGTGAAATCCAAGAATGGGGGGAAATCAGGAAATGAATTAAGAACTTGCAAAATTTTAAAAGTAGCAAAGAACAAATCTAGATTATATAATCTTAGTAATTATTCCAGTGACTCTATTAGTATCTGAGTAATTATTATTGTCTTGGAGTACATGTTCTTCTTATGAAATCTCACTTAAAAGTCTGTTTTAGGGGGCTGGGGTTGTGGCTCAGCGGTAGAGCACTTGCTTAGCACGTGTGAGGCCCTGTGTTCTATCCTTAGCACCATGTAACAATAAATAAATAAAATAAAGGTATTGTGTCCAACTATAACTAAAAAATAAATATTAAAAAAAAGTCTGTTTTAGGGGCTGGGGTTGTAGCACAATGGTAGAGTGCTTGCCTAGTGTGTGTGAGGCACTGGGTTCGATTCTCAGCACCATATGAAAATAAATAAATAAAATAAAAGTATTGTGCCCATGTACAACAAAAAATATTTTTAAAAAGTCTGTTTTAATGTGCTGGCTGCTAATATAAATAATTTAAATTATATCCTTACTTAAATTGAACAAGGAATTTTACGCTAAATGATTTTGTAAACTTTCCCGGGTATCATTTTCATGGCAGACATTAAATTTATATAAATGATGTGAGAATTGGTAAGATTGCTCACTCTCTCCCTCCTTTCCATCTTTCTTCTACAGGTACATATTGAGCACTGATGCAAAATTGAGCATTTTAAAGAAAAATTTCCACGGGTAATGTTTGATTTGTGGTTTGAGAAATGTCAATCCAAATCATGTGAATGAACACAGGAATCCGAGGGCCATGTTTTCCAAACTACATTCTGTGGTGTTCATGAGTGTACTACAGCAAAAAAATAATTATACTACTGACTTTTTTAGTCTAAACTGCATTATATGTAATAAAATACCAAATACTGTTCATAGTAATAGTTACAATGCCATAATGTACCCGTGTGGAATTTATGCCATACTGAGAATGCTGAGAAAGTGGCATGGGAAGGTCACCAAGTGTATGAATATGTGGAAGCATAGACATTATTTACCATCATTAGCATATCTCATATGTAGAGATTGCTGGTCCGTGTCTGATAAGTTTAGAATATATTTGTGATGTTATTCATCCCTAACTGCATATTAAACACTAAGGGTACATAAACTTACTCTCTATGGATCACCAACTGAAAAATGGAAATGTTAATGAAAAGCTGAGTCTTTTAGTTCTCAAAAAGTATAAAGAAGTATAAAGACTGAGTATTTCAAAAGATAAAACTTTATTTCCTAAAACAAAGACAACAACAAAAAATCCATATTTTTTGTTCAATCCTGAAAACTGATTTGGTTCTGATATTTTAGTAATGAACTAATATTTTCTCTTCACTACTTTAAAAAAAATATTTATTTTTTAATTGGACACCATATTTTTATTTTATTTATTTATTTTTATGTGATGTTGAGGATCAACCCCAGGGTCTCGTGCATGCTAGGCAAGTGTTCTACTGCTGAGCCACAACTCCAGCCTTCTCCTTGCTACTTTATAGTTGTAAGAAATGAAATTTTAGATTATGCTTCAATAAAAGCAAAATACAGAAAGAAACATGATTATGTACCTGAAATGAGGATATTGACTTAATGTAGTAACTTCTAAGTTTACAAAAGGTGTGGATTGAATTCTGACATTTTTTCAGGGATTATTGGCTGGTCAGTTCATTCTGTACTGTCTATACTATATTCTACGCTACAATTTTTAAAGTTCTCTATAATTGCTGGGTGTGGTGGTGCCTGCCTTTTAATTCCAGCAACTTGAGAGGCTGAGGCAGGAGGATTACAAGTTTAAAGCCAGCCTCAGCAACTTAGTGATGCCTTAAGCAATTTAGTGAGACCCTGAATCAAAATAAAAAAATAAAATTAAAAGGACTGAGGATGTTTCACAGTGGTTAAGCACTACTGCATTCAATCCTTGGTACCCCACCCCCCAAAAAAAACACTCTATAATTAAGCAGTTTGAAAAGTGCTGACATAGTGTGTGCTGTGGAGGGTAGAAAGAACAGCTGCAATGGGATCTGGGAGGGGTCTGAGTAGGAGGTCAGGAGAGGAAACTGAGACATGATAGAGTAGAAGGAATGGGGACCAAGGAAGGAACTGGTTTTACCAAGCAGCATCAAAATCCTCTAAGCTGAGTATTTCAGGATTGGTAAAAGTTTAGCAAGAGAGATTAGAGTGGTGAGGAGGAAATACTAGGAGCTAAAGACAAATTCATCAAAGTCCGAGGGTGTGTTCTTATCAAAATGAATACTCACATGGTGGGGAGGTAGATTGGAAAAGAAGGTTAAGGCTTAAGTGTGGAGACTTACTGAGTTGCTGAGACCTTATCAAGCAAGGAAATGATGGGGTTTGAGGTGTAATTTTAGGAAGTTTAATCCAGGAACAAGGAGTGAGAGAGGGTGGCTAAGAGAGACTGAGGGTGGGAAGATGTCCTGGTAGACTTGGGAGATGGTGATGCTGGCAATGCAAGAGGTAGTGCAGAAGATTCTGCAGGGCTTGATGGACAGGCAGTGGTGGCTCACATTTTCCTCCTGAGAGCCTGTTAGCAGAGGGAGTTGTTCTGAGGAGTGGGAAGATGGGGAGAGATGATAGATATTCTGCAAGTCTGAGACATGTTCATTACTAAAATATCAGAATCAAATCAGTTTTCAGGATTGAAAACACTGATGGAGAGGTAAGATTGTCTTCAGGGAGATAAAATGGGTGAGATTGCTCAGGAGAGATTTTGTGGGGAAATCTAGATGTACGGGAAGAGAGAAGCCAAAGGCAGCAACAATGGGGGAAGGGAGAAAGAGAAAACATAGATTTATCATCACCCACTATGGGCTAAGGGCATCCCTAAAAATCAAAGGAAGGTCCCGTAAGCATCAGGGAGGGTTTCAGGAAGATGCTGAAGTTGATAAACACATAAGTCTGAGCTTCAGTCAAAGGAAGTGGGAGAAAAAAATCACTACATTAGATCATTAAGAACATTAGACCCCTACTTACAGAATCCCAAGGAAGATAACATGGCAGAAATACTTGGTGGGAGCAGGGGCTCCTCAAAGACTCATGTGAAATCTAAGCACATTAGAGTCTGGTTCATTCTGGCTGCATGCTGCACTGAAATCATTCTAAAATTCTTGACCAGAGTAGAAGGTCAACTGGGCAAAGCACCTTTGGGCTGTTTCTAGAAAGTATAAGCTGTGGTCTTTACCCTTACAGAACTTGCTATCAGTTGAGGAGATGAGAAATAAACACACTGACATGTGAACAACATAAAAATTTAAATTCCCAATGAAAAAATTTGTCACGTAGCTGTGTTGCCAAGTTGCCAAGTCAACTGAACCAATTATGAATGCTGAAGAAGTCCAGGGAGGGAGAAAGGACTTCAGGCACTGGAATCTAGCTAAACCTTCAGACAGGAGGTAAATCTTGGACTGACCTATAGCTGCAGCAATGCAAATGGATTATCTGAAATTACCTCTGCATTTGTCCAGTTTAACGTGGCACAGGTACATAAATTAAGGTTTAGGGTGATAGGATGTTCAGAGTGACCTGGAAGTTGATTTGTCACTCTTGATATTTACATCATTGTCTTAGTCAATTTGGGCATTTATAACAAAATAACATAAACCAGGGTGGCTTATAAATAACAAACATTTGTTTTTCACACTTCTGGAGCCTCAGAAGACTAAGTCTAAAGCATTGGCAGTTTGAGTATGTGGTGTCTTCTTCCTGTATCCTCACATGGTGGAAGGAGTGTGGGATCTCTCTGGATCCTTTTTTATAATCCCATTCATGAGGACTCATCTATGTGATATAGTTACCTCCCATAGGTCCCACCTCCAAATATGCTCCTATTGAGGATTAGGTTTCAATATACGAATTTTGAGGGAAACAGATATTCAGATCATATAGCAAGTACGTTTTCAAAATTTGTTTAAAGTGTATATGCTTAGACTGGGGATGTAGCTCTGGTACAGTGCTTGCCTATCATGCACAAGGCCCTGGGTTCAATCCCTAGTACCACTAAATAGATGATAGGAAGGAAGGAAGGAAGGAAGGAAGGAAGGAAGGAAGGAAGGAAGAAAGAAAGAAAAGCAATCTTATCTGGCTTTTGCACAAGTTCAGTCTTTCAAATCTTAATGTTCTACTGTAAACACAGAATCATGACACTGAATTACAGCTTTCAAAACCTTGCTTCTTATCTTTTTTAAAGGTAATTTTGTGTTGTAATTCAGAACCTGAGTTTCTTTTGGAGTCAGACAAGCCTCATCCAAATGCCCCTTTGGCCACTCTTCAGCAAAGTGATCTCAGGCAATTATTCATACTTCATTGTAAAATGGGTATACTATTACTACCTAGATAGTTATTGTGCAGACTAAGGTAATAATTTATGCCAAATGTTTAGACTAGTATGTAGGTCATAATAAGCATTTTTAAAAAGCATCACAACTTTTACAGCAAATTCTGCATATGACAGTATTCCTTGGCACATTTTGTCTTATAAATTTAATCACAAAGGAAAGGGCCCAAACAATTTCTGATTTTTGAAGAACACCCCTAGCTTAAGCAGTTAGTTATTACATAAAGAT